TCTCAGTGTAACAACAAATAAAATGAAGGAACGAAGGAATGAATAAAACCTGTGCTGAAGTCATATAAGATGAGAATTCTGCGGTTTTGCAGGACAGCAGTCTAGATTTACACTGACTCTAACTTATGGAGCCATAAATGCTAGAAGTTAAAAATCCTTAGGTACATCTTTACAAAAGCAATGAATAAAAGAGAAAGGCATTTCCCCTTTCTCTTTGTTCCCCATCTCACTACCACTTCCAGGAAGACAATGAGCTCTCCTGTCAAAAATAACACACAGGAAAGTCTATATTTAGGGGGTACAGGAGTGGGGAGGTTCGATCTCCGATTTCAGTGTTGCTATCTCTTTGCAATTTTATAGTTTTTTTGTTTGTTTGCTTTTTACTTCCAAACCTCTGGTTTCTAAATATGAATTATTTTTTGTAACATATATTGTACCCGGTACAGTAGAAGGCATAAAGGAAGTAAGGCTTCAGTTATTTTCAAATATATTATGTTATCTGTAAGTAAAGTTTGAATATCTGACTTTCATAACTTATTCTATTTCTTTCATATGCTAAATTCAGATAATGATTTTGAGTTTGCTTTTTTTTTTTTCTAAACTGCCTTTTATCTTGAAAAAGTAAGTGGCTATGTTTATTTGGAGTAGGAATTAAATCATATAGCTCCTAACATTGCACTTATTATTTGTAGGAAAAACTTAGCTCATATAAATTAGAATATTAGCTAACTATAGATCACAGAAATTACTATCTTAGTTACATTTTTCACATAACTAATAGCTTTTTTTAGGGAATTTATCAGGTGAAATTCAAGCAACAAAAGGTGAATTTGATGGGGAGAGGTTGTTTATGCTTTAGAGGTCCATAGTTATATTTCAGATAGGTTTGTGTGTTTGATGAGACACTATTGTTAATAGTGGTGCATATTTTTTTTTCTTTTTGCAAATTGTAACTTTGGTCTGCTAGTGGTTCATATTTTTGATGTGTGCACACTATTATTATGGCCTCTTGTGTACTACTTCATTATCTGGAAATGTTTGATTGTAATTTTTTTCATATATTTTCTTGGATCTGTAAAATAGAGGTGAAATCATTATTTTTTGTTTTCTATCGTTTGACTTCTCATAGAGTTATTAGAGAATTGATATTCTTGTCTTTCATCTCACATTCTAATGTAAGTTTAATTGATTTTTGTTTCAATCTTTCTTTCAGTGTGAGAGCAGCTCACATTTCAGCATTGCTGAAAACTGCATTTTTGTGGAGTTATGTCTCTTGTACTACAAGCCAGCTCAATGGCTTCTATATAGTTAGAGTACAATGTTTGCAGTTGTTAGAGTGAATGATACCTTTTCTTTTTTTAACCATTAAAAAATGTCCTGCTTTGGTTTTAATATACATACTTGTTTTTAAAAATCTAATGAGGTGAAGTAAAGTCATAGTAAGAAAATGACTTAATTACCATCTTGTGATGGTCACAAAATACTATCTTAGTTTGGAGAAAAACCTTTCTTCTGAGTATTACCAAAAAAGAAAAAAAAGACAGTGAACATAAAGAAAAAAATTGATCTCAGCATAAGGAGGCCATAAAAAAATTGATAAAGTTAGGCCAGGTGCGGTGGCTCACGCCTGTAATCCTAGCACTTTGGGAGGCCGAGGCGGGCGGATTGTTTGAGTTCAGGAGTTCGAAACCAGCCTGAGCAAGAGCAAGACCC